GCGTGCTTTTCTTGGTTTAACTAACGTTATTAACGCCTTGATTTCTAGTTGCAGTTCATCTCCCTCTTCATTTCCTCTTTTGTTACTTAATGGGGACTCTGTGTCCAAAGGGTTCAGTTTGTAAGAAGTTTGACACAAAAGAAAAGCTCCCCCGTGCTTTGCCTGGGCCCTGGTATTTACAGAGCACAGGGTCGTCGCTTTTCTTCCTATTATTATATATTAGGAAGATGGCTCATGCCTTGAAAATGGAGTTATTGTGAATAACAATTACCTTCCACTGGAAAAACCTCCACTGAAGAACTGATTCATACACTGTGGGCCAACGAAGGGCAAATGTTCTGTTAATGTGACGTCTTATTTCTCTCCTCACACACAGGCAGCTGGACCTCCCCCAGATCTCGGGCAGCACTCAAGCATGCTGGAGAGTCCATGCTAGAAATGTGCAGGGGAGCAGGGAGCAGAAAGCCTCCTCTTGGGTAGCATGGGGCACACAGGCACCCATGTGCCCTCCTGGAACTCCAGACCTGGTCTTGTACCCTGGGGAAGTGCAGAGAATCATGGAGGATTCTGGGCTACCAACAATCCTGCCGTCAGGGATGACTGTCTCTTGCTGTGGGCTAGAGGAGATTAGTTTGGTGTCAGGCAATTCAGTCTCAACGTGATGACACTCCAGAACCATTAACCACAGAGTTCACAGATGAGAGACAAGGGGAGTAAGATGGAGGACTAGCCCTCCGGTCCTGGGTGCTGAGGGACAGTAGAAGGTGAGAACTCTGAGAGGGTGAGAAACCGGATGCCAGCAGACCTCTGGTGGTTCAGAATTCCTCAGACCAACAATTGAGGGTGTGGGTCCTCCCTGCCACTAGGGAGCGCTGGAGCAAATATTTGGAAGGGATCAGGATTACTTGAAGAGTATTTCTATGCCAGGGCCTCAGGGAAGTCACTCCTCTGAGTATCTGGGGATTTCCCTTTGTGTCTTCTGTTGGAACACTGTTTGTTTGATTGATTGTTTGTTTGTTTATAAAAAGATATTTCCTGAAGTCCTCTGCTGTAGGCACCTGTGTGTGTGATGATTGGTCCTTCTCAGTTGACTGGATGTGTGCGTGCACATGTATGGGTCTAGACTCACCCAGGAGACACATCTCTGGTATGTCTGTGAGGATATTTCCAGAGAGGATTAAATGAGGATGGAGGACTCTCTCTCCAAGGTGACAGCATCTTCCAGCAGGTGGCCTGGGTTTGAAGATGTCCTGGGAAAAGGCAGCATGTGTGACTGCCCCTGACAGTCATCCACTGGCACTGGACTCCAGCTTCTTCTGCCTTCCAACATGGACGCACTACCAATGACAGTCAGATCTCCAGGCTGTGGGCTTGGACTGGAGCTGCTGAATCATCGGGCTTTGTCAACTGAATTCTCAGCCTCTTCAGTGTGCAGATGGCCCCTGTTGGACTCCCCAGACTGTATCCTGTAAGCCAATCTAATAATTCCCCTTTGTGAGATGTATTCATCCCATTCCTTGTGAGCGCCAGTAATCTCTAACAACTGAATAATCTCTGTGAAAGGGGATAAGAAGTAGGTCCAGAGAGAAGGGGGCTCCAGGTGGTACCCCATTGCCTCTTGGCATGAAGTAGTTCCTTAATGACTTCAATTATATTAACATTAACAGATGTAGAATTTCCTTTTTAGAATGGGCTGGTCTCCTGCCTTTTCGTTGGGTTTATTGCTGGGCAGACCTCTTTTTCAGAGAGTTTTGTGTGAGTCTTGCTAATTCCTTCGCACAATGGCTGAGAGGAAGACAGGAGCATTGGCAGCATTGCCCACTGTGGGCAAATAAGATGTGCTTTCAGTAAAATCCTGATGGCTGCTTAGGTTATCAGAACTCTACCGACTGTATGGAGAAGCCTCTGAGAGACCCACACATGCTCACCCTGGATACCATGACCCCCTTCCCCACCAGAAACAGGTCCAGACTCACGTACAAGCCCAAAACAGCCAGGAGCCATGATGATTTTAGAGAAGGGAAAATGAAATACATCTGCTGTGTCAGTGGTTTTTAAACTTGGGTACATAAAGTATCATCGGTGTGTGTGTGTGTGTGTGTGTGTGTGTGTGTGTTTGTGTGTGTGTGTGTGTGTAGACTGAAGTCAGCTTCGGGTATCATTCCTTTAGTACTGCCACCTTGATTTTTGAAATAAGTTCTCTCGCTAGCTGGAACTTGTCTAGTAAGCTGGGCTAGTGGTTGCTGAGCCCTGTGAACCCACCAGCCTCCACCTCCCCCTTCCCACCAGCCTCCACCTCCCCCTTCCCACCAG